GTGAATGTCAAGTTAACTTTCAAAAATTTACAATAATGGATGTATTTTTTTCAAAATCATTCAAAATCATCTCATATTGACAGCCAAATTTTATATATACAATTGAATTCTAAGAATCCTTCCATACGAGTTTATAAGGCAAAGATCGGGGAGATATACCAGGTAGAAATGAAGATAGCAGCAAAACGGAATAAATTAGCTAAACATTTTCAGAAATGGGATAAGCTTTTGCCACATATCGGTTTGTAGGATGAGTGTCGTCCAAGTAAAGCTGGGTAGCATAAGAAGTCAAATTTTATTGTAAAGCATACGATTTCGCGATATACTATTAGTAAGATACTGTAAATATTTTACCGTAACATGTTGAAAGTAGTTTAATATGTTGTAAAATAATGTAAATGTAGAGTTTTGGACCCCATTGGAAAGAGCGTGAAACAAGGCTGCGTGTTGACCCCTATACTCTTTGCCACCTTCTTCGGCACCATGCTGAGAGACACTAAGGATGAACCAAATGCATCTACGTCAAGTTCCAAACTGATGGAAGTGTCTTCAATCTCTGTCACCTCCTCACCCCAAACCACGATAATCGATGAGCTGATCCTTGAGCAACTCTTCGCCGACGAATGTGCGCTTCTGGCAAACACAGAAGAGGCTCTACAAACAGTGTTTGACCACTTTGCAAAGGCTGCACCATCATTCGGACAGACCATCAGCCTGAAGAAGATAGAGCTCCTTCACGAAGATCATTCACATGCAATGCACAGCCCACCCCAGATCACCATCAACAGCCACCTACTCAACTTGGTGGAACAGTTTACCTACCTTGGCAGTGTACTCTCCAATAATGCCACGATGATCAAAGACATGACCACTATCTCGCCAAAGCCAGCTCCTTTGGTTGCCTCCAGCACAGCATAGTGTGGCAGAACCACTCTCTTCTCCCATTGAACAAGGTTGGAGTTTATGTGGCAGTCATCATCAGCACTCTTATGTATGCTGCGGAAACTTGGGTGCTGTACCGAAAGCACATACAGCTGCTGGGACGCTTCCACCAGAGGTGCCTGCAATCCATCATGGGAATATACTGGCACGACTACGACACCAACATCAAAGTTCCAGAGAGGGCTAGAATGCCACGCATCAAGGCTATGCTGCTACATCGACATCTCCGCTGGGCTGACCATGTCGTCGTGATGGAATGACACCAGGATGCCCAAACTTGTGGTCTTTGGCAAACACAGTAAAGGCAAGTGCCTCCTCCATGCAGGCAGGTGTTGACCACAAAGACTGGCAGACGTTCTCATCAGACAGAGTCGAATGGAGGTTAACCACCAAACGTGCAGCCCAGCAGCTCGAGGACTTCAAAGTGAACACTGCTATGGAAAAATGAAAGCATCGAAACGAGTCGGTCAATTAAGCAACATCTTTGGGTGATCAGACCTTCCTTAGCCCACTAGCTAAATTGACAAGTTGCACTGCTTTAAATAATTTAAATAGGTTTTGCGATTTGTGCGGTCGGTTCAACTGGCTTTGCTGGTCTGTTTTTTAACCAGTGAAATGATGATTGCAGATTCTTCATATTCTTCTTCAAAGATCAGCTGGAGGAAAGTACTTACTGAGGGCGGCATGCCCTCTGATGACTAGTGAGTCCAATTCTGAATTTACATAGTTTTCAGTAGGTCGAGCAGGGGAAGGTCTGATCGCTGCCATACGTTGCTTGATTAGCTGACTCCTTTTGACCCTTGCATTTCTCCTCAGCAGTGCTCATTCCGGAGTCCTTGAGCTGCTGAGCTGCACGTTTGCTGGTTAACCTGTAGAAATCAATTCCCCTCCTAGCCCCAGTCCGCGCAGTCATCCATATAGGTTTGACTTTCGCGTGGATCACGCAAATAAGAAAGTTTTGAGCTTAGTTCAAAGGTATTCGCAAGTACATTCGTATGCAGCTTTATTTCAAAATTGTCAGGTTAATTGCTCTTTTGTTGAGTGTCCCATGCTCCTTATGTTATAAGTATCATCTATGTTATACATATTTCCAGCTATTTGTATTTCCTATGTTATTTCAATTTTTTAATGAGTCGTTCTGTTCTTGATGTATTATGTTCATAATACTTTACTTAGAAACCGCTGGCAATAACGGTGTGTTGGTTCCAGTTTCTGACGATTGTGAAATTATATCGATGGAATATTCATTGAATAAACAAGTGGACGAGAAAAAATACTGTCCCTAAAGAAAAGTCGTGCTGGTCACCTTGAATACTTAAACAAATTGTACAAAGACGTCTAGTTATTAATGAGGAACGCTGAAAATTATCAGGAGGTTTGCACGAAGAAGAAAGGTGTCAAAATCATGTTTGCGAAATGTTTTCAAACCTACCACGAATATTATCAAGTTGTCGACCTCCAAAAAGTTACATCAGATGCGCTTAATGCTTGTCGTAGCATTATAGGTAAAAAGAAATTCAACGGAAGTTTTGAAGAATGGTCGTGATCCATTCAACGTACTGCAGATGAAACTTTGATGTTTCCTTGCTAAGAAGATAGTGATAATCTCGAGTCACAGGTTGGCACATGTTCCCAAGCCGGCTCAAGTAGCAGAAAATCGAAGACCTCCAAGTCCAGCTCGCGCACAAGTGATAGATCATGAAAGGCTAAAGCCGAGCTTCTTTGTCGTGAAGTCGAGTTAAAAAATCTGTTAAAGTACTAGGAGATGGAACGTCAAGAGGAACTTCAAATAGCCGAGATGAAAACCTAAGATGAATTAAAATGTCAGATTGCTTTATTAGCTGCAAAAGGGGAAATAGAGAAAGATTGAGCTGTTGATGAGCTTTATGAAACCTCGAAATATTCAAAACGTGCTATCGAGGCAGAATTGAAACCGGTTTACTCAGAGGAAGCTCGTGGCTCCTTTCCACCGGCGAACAAGCCTCAAGCTGGACCGAGCTTTAAAAATGGCGACTTCAAGCAGGTTGGAAGAAACTATTCAAAATCAATGCTGAATCCAAGTGCACAACCTTGGGACCCAGGACCTCCACGGATCTCTACTGGTGATGGAGACCTGACTGGTTCCCAACATTTGCAACAAAGAGGCCTTGCAGCTTATGGCGTACATGACTCAACAAGGATTTGAAATACCCAAAAGAGAGCTTTTGAACTTTAATGGAAATCCATACAAATACTGGTTGTTCAGAAACAACTTCGAGGTCAACATCGCTAAGAGGGTGCCGGACACCAAGATGAGCCATTAAGGAAGCCATTAAGAACTGTACTATTATTTCTGTACCAGAACAAGATTACAGGAAAGCCAAAGAGATCTTGTACCACAGAATTGGACAAAAACACAATTTTTGTTTAAGAAATGTTACAGTCGTCATGAAAGGAAAAGGTGGGCACAACACTATTGTGGCAATACGCTTTTGAATCCTGGTTCGGATGTTACGTTATGCAACGTGAATTTAATGGAGAAACTCCAAGTAGATGGTTGTCCAAAGGAATTTCTCACTACCAACCGTAAATGGCGCATCCCGCTCAAAAGGGAATTGAGTTATCTTTGTCTGTTCAAGGATTACAAATGGAAGAAGAAATCGTGTTAGATAAAGTCTGGACAGTAGGAACGTTGTGTTTATCTCAAGACAGTCCACTAACTAAAGAAGATACTGCGAAGTGCCCCCATCAGAAAGGAATAAACTTCCCGAGAACACAATCTGACAGTGTCAGTGCTAATTGGCAAAGACATTCCTGAAGCTCATTAGGTGTGCAATCAGACGCATGGCATCGATGGACTCTGATGGGACAATTACACTCATGTATTAGAGACTGCTACAGTGTGAATTTTGTTTGCTTTGACGATGAAACGCTCCACCAGCAGATGGAAAGTATGTTTAAGAGTGACTTTCACAAGCCTATGATCTCCTCAAAGGTTGCAATATCAGCTGAAGATCGAAGAGCTTACAAATGAAAAATTCTGTGAAGGCCACCATCTGTTGGGCTTGCCATGATGGCACAAGTTAGTAAACCTCTCGAACAATCATGAATTTGCGATAAGAAGATTGTGCTACTTAAAGAAAAGATTCCAGCACAACTTTCTCCTCTTAAAGAAGTTGAGGGATATTTCTCCCGCGGTTATGCAAGAAGAGTTCCTTGCAACGAACTGGAAGCTGTAAAGAATAAACCAGTCCGGTACCTAGCCCACCATCCAGTTTTTCAACCTGAAAAAAAGAGAAAGTTAGAGTCGCGTTAGACTGCGTCACCAAGTTTTAAGGCACCTCCCTGAATGATCAGTTTATTCAAGTTCCAGACCTTACAAATAGACTTTTGGGCATCATCATACATTTTTCCAAGAGCCCGTAGGCATGTTCCACCAAGTGCGGATGGCTCCCGATGATTCTCACGCATTAAGATCCTAGTGGTGGCCAAACAGCGACCTTGCCAAAGAGCCAGTTGAGTACCAGCTATTAGTGCACTTATTTGGAGCCACGTTTTCTCCAAGTTGCTCAGGTTTTTGTCTTAAGAAGACGGCCTTGGATGATTTGGACAAATTTGATAATGAAACCGTTAACACTATCAACCGAACTTTTATGTTGATGATTGTCCACAACTGATACGACAGCGTGCTTGTCGGGTCAGTTGCGAGAATTACTGTCAAGAGGAGCTATTGGTCTTCCCAAATGGATCAGTAATGACAGGAACGTAATCGCCACTGTTCTAGTAATGGAGAGAGCGCCCTCTGTGGTCAACTTAGATTTGGAGGACCTTCCCGTAAAGCATGCTTGGGGAATACAATGGGCCATGGGCCATGGAGACAGACAACTTTAACTTTTGCGTGACAGATGAGGGAAAGGCTCCAACACGTAGAGGAATCTTGTCTGTTGTAAGCTCCATGTGCGACCCCTTGGGTTTATTGCGCCTATCATTCTGCAATCCCAGAGCCTACTCCAGACCTTATGCAGGCAAAAGTATGGCTGGGACTAAGAGATTTTGCCAGATTTTATTATATGGCAGCGATGGCTGAAAGAGCTTGCATGTTTGAGAACAAATTCGTTTCCAGATGTTCCAAGGCACGTGGATTTCGTACAGTCATCAACGTCCGGTTACATCATTTATTGGATGCATCAAAAGATGGTTACGGAGCAGTATGGTACCTAAGGATTGTCAACGACAAAGGTGTCCCGCATTGTTCGTTTGTTCCAGGCAAAACTTGCGTAACTCCCCTGAAAATGGTGTCCATACCGCACCTCGAGTTGGCAGCAGTAGTGGTCGCTGTGAAATTGAGTTGCCTGATTCGAAATGAATTAGAGTATCTCAAACATGATAAAATCTACGGTACAGATTCTACCGAAGTCTTGCAGGACATATGTATTGAATTAAGAAGATTTTACACATTTGTTCCTAACAGAGTTACCATGATAAAGGCCAGATCCACACCACATCAATAGCGACATGTTGACAGCTGTGTGAACCCTGCCGAAATCCCGTCCAGAGGAGCTAAATGTTCTGAACTACATAAGTTGGAACTGTGGCTTCATGGTCGAAAGTTTCTGTAGCAGGGAGGAGAGAATTGGCCTGAACCCCAGCTGCCAGAATTACGTCAAGATGACAGTGAATGAAGAAAATACCCTGGTCCTGCGAACGTGATTGTCCGTGATAAAATGTTGGAACCACTGTTGTCCTGCTATTCATCCTGGCATAGTCTTTGAAAAAGCCATAGCTTGGTTGTTATGTTTCAAGAGGTATTTGGTTGGCCTCCTTGGCAAGGATCTAGACAGCATTCCCCAGGGACCCTTGACTGTCACCGAGGTTGTTGCTGCAGAGAGTCATTATCAAAGCTGTCCAGCACGACACACATGACACCTGGGTAGGCAAAAGAGCGTAAGGGAACCAGAGGAAGTGCGTCCCACAGAGGAGTCCAATATGCAACTTGAACCCTTTCGTCTCTGAAGGAATATTAGAGGTAGGGGGTCACCTCCACAATGTTTCTGTTTCGTTCCAAAGGAAGCACCCCATTATTCGTAAACATCGCGTGACATATTTGGTCATCTAGAATTGTCATCACCAACATGGACATTGTGGTCCTTCTCAAGTTCTCGCTTTCATCAGACGGAGATTCTGGATTGTACGAGGTCTTTCGGCAGTATGAATTTCCGCAAGCAAAATCCTCGTCCTAGTGAACAGATTATGGCCCCACTCCCGTCAGCAAGAGTTCCTCCGGCAGATCCACCATTTACCCATGTGGGCGTGGACCACTTTGGCCCGCTCTTTGCCAAGCAAGGTCACATTCAAGTAAAATGTTATGGATGTTTGTTTACATGTCTAACCATGAGGGAAGTGCACATTGAAGTTCTGCACACTTTGGAAGCAGACTCGTTTATCTATGCATATCAGTGTTTTGTCAGTGGCAGAGGGAAGGTGCAAAAAGATGTACGGCAACAATGGCACCAACTTCACGGGTGCAAATTCATTTCGGAAAAGATGGAGGAAGGGTTATTGACCCGCACTTAAAACAAGGCAGGCCTTCCTGTTGCTAATTTGACTATTTATCCGATAGAGTCATTAAGGCTTAATTGCGCATTTTTTTGCGATCAAAACTATTATACAAGTTTGACCGCTGTTTTCGTTCGTTTGACTATTAGAAAAGTTCATCACTTCAACTAGTCTAAATATTTTAAGAGAGAATTTTTCTGGAGACCACGTGAAATCCAAAAAATGTGGCACATGCCTAGAAAAAGCCCTACCTTCATACTTCGCTCAAAGATACCTTAGGGTAAGTCTATAAACGTGGTATAATTTTTTTTTTCAGAACTGTTTTTATTTTCTAGAAAATCACCAAACACTATATCGAGCCCCAACCGCCATAACAGTGGCCGAAATGAAGCCGACGAGTAGGGCAACAAAAACGTTATTCTTCAAAAGCGCAAAAGAAAGCAAGTCTTTCCGAATATTATCTATTTGTATACGAGGTATTAACAAATGATTTGAATCTAATAACGGGATTATTGACATAACTATGAATTATTGGCGAATATTTGAAAATCGCCAAAATTTGATTGATTAAAAATTTCATTTTGGAGCAGTTTTTCAATAAAAATTTTTCCTACTCGGTATATCTCGGAATCACTTGAGATGAGCATTTCTGAAAATTGGAAACGATGTTCTTTTCAAGGATATAAAAATTAATTTGGGGCTCTTAATTACTGCGAAGAAATAGCCCGATCTATTTCGTGCAAATCGCAACGCCGCCGTGTAAACAACCGCAGATAATCCAATTATTCTTTTATTATCGAAGCCATAATTTCTTCAAAATCTTACCGCTTTGAGCTGTGCTTTATCAGAAACTCAATATGTTACCCTTACCTTCTGAAACCAGTGATTAAGGAGTGATGTTTCCATTATTTTTTGTTTCAAATCGCCATGTTCACTTGAAAAGTGTTTACAACGTCCGGCTTGACCATTTACAATACTCGGAGCTGTTCATAAATCATCGCAAACCATCGCAACTCTTGACTTATTTCTGCTTCCATACAACTCCAGTATATACAAAAGTCTTTTTAGCACGATAAACCAAGATGCTTTGATCGCTTACAGTTTCAGTTAAGAAACGTTTGGCTCCCCAAATGGCACAACGATGTTCACCAAGTCGTGTGTCATCACTCATGTTTGTCACGCAATCACGCTAAACGTGCACAGGACACCCAGACAGGCATTCGTCTGCAGACATCGCTGTACCGAGTGCAGGGCCAACTAATATTTATTTCTTAGTCAGTGTTATGTTTTAAACAAAAACCTGCGCGAATTCACTTAAAAAACGCTGTAGATCTCTTTTGAGTGTTTTGAATTAGTGCCATTCTGAAAAACTACTTTTTGACGTTTTCGTAAATTTAGTCACCCCCTGGTACTAACTATACATGCGTTGTTATCGACTCTATTTCCACGACTTCGCGCTTGCAAAGATTCTATTTATCAATAGGCACTTTAAGTATGACGTTTAACGGCAAACGGCAAACGCAAGCTTGCCTTTCATTTTGTTACCTATTTATGGAATTCTTAAAAAAATCCTGCACAAAAAATAAAATGAAATAAATCAAACCTACTTAATTCCGTTTACACACGCCTAGAGACAGACGACAGAAATTGAATTTTTGACGTTCGCGGGAAAAACAAACGTCATGCGCAACCTCTCAAATGACGAACTTCCCAGTAAACTAAAACAACTGGAAGTTAATTGTCTGGTGCTCCGTGATTATATACATCACCTACGTGTCCCTAGTGGATCGATAAGGTCTACCATGACCTTCAGTGGCAGGCAGACAGGTTCCACGGTGAGGCGTTCTTTTCTAATGACACTGGAAAAATGCTACCGACTATGTAAACAGAACAACAGACTAACAATTTCGTGCTTTATCTAAGCACTTTGAACGTTAAACTTCACTAAAAACGTAAATCTTCGAGTCACAAAGTCGGCCGATTGTAATAGGCCGCGAGACATTACGTGTTATTTGATATCGCCTGACTGTAGGTCATTACAATTACATTTTTAAAGCTTTGGACTTACACAATCTCTGTTTTTTGTTTTTTGTTGTTGTTGTTGTTTTTTTTAATTTTCCTTACGATAGCGTGCTCATCAATTTAAACCTTTCGATTTTGTACCTTGATTGCTACGATGATAATGGCCATCGCTAGAAACTTGACAGTTTTCTCAACTCGAACTCGGAAAAAGTTGTTTCCCGTCCCTTAATCAAACAATTAATCGGCCATTCTTTGAGATCCCGAATTCTCGACAAGACAGAGGCGGCGTACCCTCGGAGATTCAAGAAATCAGGAAGTTCCTCCATACCAGCTAACTGAATGGGTTTTATAAAGCAAAAAAAGAAAGAAAGAAAGAAAGAAAGGAAAGGAATACAGTGTCATATACTTTAGGTTTTTTCCTGGTCAATGAAACCAATGAATTCAAGCTACATGTAGTTCGTCACTGCTGACAGGTACAGCTAAAACAAAGGGCTTCGATCTTGCTCACGTAAGGCTGCTTACGATGAACGGAGATATCGAGATACCGAAATATTGGAAGGCAACGTGAATATCGATGCCCGTGCTAAAATGAGATCGACTTCCGATTCAACATCATTCACGCCCACAGCCTGTTTGTGTGCTGAGATGTCTTTCTCACATAAGCGCAGAGGGACTATAAGAGAAGCTTTTCCTGCAACTCGACTTCGCTTATCTTGGGAGCAGCATCCCCCAACTAATCTTTGAAAGGAGCAATTGATTTCCATTTGGTACGCTCACCTCTTAAAAAATCGGTGGCCAAACGAAAACACCATTTTAGTTTGCTTTGGAAAATTTATGGCGCGACGCTCATTATATGGTTAGAAACTGTGCCTAATCTAATTTATTTTTTTAGCGCTGAGTATTTTAGAAAGCTACTCCCAATTTAATTTTTCCACTCCTGCACCTGTCTACCCTGCAAGCCGTCACAATTTACAAAATAGGATAACACATTTTTTTACGTCGTAAAAAAATTAATGCAGTGAAATTTCCTCTATGCTGTAGTAACATATAGCTAATTCATTTAGCAGTCTAGGGTGACGCATGAGTGGTATCGCGCTTAAAAAATGCAAACAACGGTAATTTTAAATTCTGGATTTAAAACTTTTTCCCGGAAATAAAAAATAGGGGATAAGAAGGAAAGAAAATAAGAGCGTATTGGTAACCGAGCCTCCTTTCGAGTGACATGTTATTGCGTGACACCATCGCAAAAAACGAACGTCAATGATTCATTTCATCTATCAGGATGCCCTGGCTCGTTCTATAAAAAACAAACTTCCATTCTTATTGTGAAAGGAAGACTTGTAAAATGTGAGTGTTCCAAGCTGAAATATGGTTATAACTGTCCAGCAATGCGACGTTTCCGGCAGGAACCTTCGTGAGATGTTTTCAGTGTGATTTGGTATACACCGCCTGTAGTGCTGTACTATCGAAGCTGTTGTCAAGTCTCTTTATAACAAGATTGAGGCAAGGAACCAATCTTAGAAAGGTGTTTTTCGCCAGGTGAGCCTAAGAAATCCAGTTTACAATCTAGTATAGGTCAAAGCGATAAGATTTTGTTGGAATTATGGCTTCGATAATTAAAAGCCTAATTGGATTATCTGCGGTAGTTTACATGGCGGCGTTACGATTTGCACGAAATAGACCGGGCTACTTCTTCGCAGTAATTAAGAGCCCCAAATTAATTTTTATATCCATGGAAAGAACATTCTTTCCACTTTGTAAAAATGCTCATCTCAAGTGATTCCGAGTTATACCAGGTAGGAAGAATTTTTATTGAAAAACTGCTCCAAAATGTAATTTTTAATCAATCAAATTTTGGCTATTTTCAAATATTCGCCAATAATTCATAGTTATGTCAACAAGCCCGTTATTAGATTCAAATCATTTTTTAATA